TGCCCTTCCTACTGAGCCACCCAGGCAACCCCCCCTTTAAAAAAAAAATTTTTTTTTAATGTTTATTTATTTTTGAAGGGGAGAGAGACACAGAGTGCGAGTGGGGGAGGGGCAGAGAGAGACGGAGACAAAGAATCCGAAGCAGGCTCCAGGCTCCAAGCTGTCATCACAGAGCCGATGCAAGGCTCGAACTCAGAAACCGCGAGATCATGACCTGAGCCGAAGTCGGCCACTTAACAGACTGAGCCACGCAGGCGCCCCGTCCGCATTTTATATTGTAACTCATAACACATGTATGTACACATCTTTCGAGAAGCGGTATTTCTAACTTCGTTGGGATCTTACCTTTCAAAAAAAAGTCCTGAGTAAAAATGTAAATGGTGCTAAAGAATCCAGAGTTAAAAGCCCAATAAACTCATACGTTTCTTATTTTGAGATTTGAATATAATTAAACCATGTGTCCTGTTTAGAAACTACTACTCCAGACAGTAGTACAGGAAAGCCTGGATCCTTTACAACAAAGCTCATCCTAGATGCATTTAATAAATGAATGTACTGGGACACAGTTGACGTAAAGAACACTTTTATGCAGTTTTTTTCTTTGCAGACAGAAGTTTTATTAAAAGTATTTGTATGAGCGTATACGTTAGCTATCGTGCTACTGTGGACACAAGGGGAAACTGATGTTCTTGCTGGCAGTCCGATCTCTGCCTCTAGCAAGAGCTGGTTCAGTTGCGTGTAGCAGTCAATTGAACCTCCACATTTTCCTTCAAACCAAGCAAATTTGTTTTAACTGTATGTAGTTCTTTGGTGTTTTTTCTTTTTTTTTAAAGTTTATTTTTGACAGAGACAGAGTGCGAGCATGAGCCAGGGAGGTAGAGAGAGAGACAGGGAGACACAGAATCCGAAGCAGGCTCCAGGCTCTGAGCTGTTAGCACAGAGCCTGATGCAGGGCTCGAACCCATGAGCCGTGAGATCGTGACCTGAGCCGAAGTCGGACACTTAACTGACTGAGCCACCCAGGCGCCCCTGTAGTTCTTTGGCCTTTTTTTTCACTGTTGTGTCATTTGTTCAAGTAACACTTTTTAAATATGATATAAAGAGTAGTTTTCACTATTAATGAGCCCAATTAATTAAAATAGTCGAGGCCATAAGTAGGGTGGTCTTACTCTCAGCTATTTTCATTGGCAAAGATAGCATTAGAAAAGATGAATACTTGTCATTGTTCTTTGGTCATGAGCAATCTTTTGTTTTTTTAAGTGTATTTATTTTGATAGAACATGTGAATGCGTGTGAATGGGGGAAGGGCAGCAAGAATGGGAGAGAATCCCAAGCAATGCTTCGTGCTGACGGTGTAGGCTCAAAATCATAAACCGTGACGTCATGACCTGAGCCGAAACCAAGAGTTGCTCAACCGACTGAGCCACCCAGGCGCCCTGTCATGAGCAGTCTTAAACAAAAGCATGCTTCTAGAACTTGACCATGCTTGGGACATATGCTTTATTCGCTTTGAGTCAGTCATTTCACAGTGTCTACATGTGCTTGGTTTTTCCAGTATTTAGTATCTGCTAGGCTTTGCTTCTTTTTGTATGCTATTCTCTTTTTTTTAATATGAAATCTTTAACATTTACAGAAAGATAGGGAAAGTACCTACCACCCAGATTCAGTAATGTTAACATTTTGATGTATTTGCTTCAGAGCTTTTCTCTTGAAAGAAGGAAACCATGACAGAGGAAATTTATAATAGCCTATGTTTATTGAGCACTTACTGTGTACCCTGTACTTCTTAGAAATCTACATGGTTTCACTTAATTAATTCTTACACAGTCCTGTGCAGTATGTGTTGTTGTTATTCCTGTTTTATTGACGAAGAAACTGAAGCCCATGCCAGTTAAGTAAGTGTGCTCAGGCTACTTTCCTAGTTAATGGCAGTGGAACTCAGTCCCAGGCAGTGTTGATCCCATGCTTAAGCATTATCCTATGCCTGTGTAATCTTTTGTATTCCTTCTCGATCCTGTACTCCTCACTCCTTGCCCCAGAGGCAACACTGTCCTGGAGTGTCTCCCCTGTCCACGGTTTTATGTTTGCTCCCCGTTAAATATTATGCATTGTGGTTTAATTAAGAATGGTATCCTCAGCTAAAAAGACAAGCCTGCAACTTTGATATATCTCTTTTTTTGAGATCTACTCATATTATCAGATGCAAATCTAGTTTATTTTCAGTGCAGTGTGTTTTGTGCTTTATCCATACTCTAAACCCCTGATTGGCAGGATGAATAATGTGAGAGTCCATCGTGGAATATATTACCATACTTTGGCAACTGTTTTCCAGGCAGCGATTGAACCTTAGATAAGGCTCTGCACCCTACAGCCTGAGTTGCCTCATCTGTGATGAGGAGATTGGACTAGATAATATAGCTCAGTCATGAAAATCTGAACATTAGGATGCATCAGATTTCTCTGCCCTTGGCAGAGGTAGCCAGAGTCTGGGATATAGAGTTTATTCAAAGTAATTTCCATATAGGTATTTCAGAATTGCCAAACATTTCTCTATTGGTTTCAGAAATGTTTTCAGATTGGAAGCATCTTAAGTCTAACTGTGCTGTCTACCCCCAAAGCCTTAGTTAAAATGATTTTTAAATTTAAATGACTGCTTTTCTTTATTTAATTTTTTTTTAGATTTTATTTATTTATTTATTTATTTTTTAATTTTAAGTAATCCCTACACCCAGCATGGGGCTTGAACTCCCAACCCTAAGATCAAGAGTCGCATGCTCCACTGACTGAGCCAGCCAGGAGCCCCTAAATGGCTGCTTTTAAACGTTCCAGCTATCATAGATAGTCTATCTGGAGCCTTGAGACAACCAAATAAAGGAGATGAGGACACATCTGCCCCTTTGAAAACATTTTCCAGAACATTTTGGTGCTTATGGAGTTGCATACGTGTTGGCTTTTAATGATTTTCCCCCTCATCGCTCGAGGCCGGCTCTTGTCTCTTCCTTCTTGCTTGATGTAACCACCACATTCTGTTGGCCCGTGTTGGAGTATCTTCAGCCCAAATCGCTTTTGGCAACTGTAAATATAAGTCTTTGATCATTTCTGAACAGGGTTTTAGAATCCACAGGGTTAACACGCTAGTCTGTTAAGGGGGAAAGAATCAGTGTGACCGTCTTCCTTTATTTTATATCTTAGGAACGTGTTGTCGGCTTCCACGTACTGGGTCCAAATGCTGGAGAGGTTACGCAAGGCTTTGCAGCTGCACTCAAGTGTGGACTGACCAAAATGCAGCTGGATAGTACCATCGGGATCCACCCCGTCTGTGCAGAGGTGGGTCACCTGTGCGTCGACAGCTCTGTTTAAAAGTGCCCGTCGCCTGGCTGGCAAGTGGAGGATGTAGCGCTCTGAACTGATGCTGGGGTCTTTCTGCTACAGTGCAGCTACTTCTGTGCATCCTTACAGTTCAGCTCGTGATTGGGTACCTCAAAAAAGCCTTGGGTCTAGAAACCATTTTTCCTTTTCCAAATATTTTTCGTTCCTGATGGGAACTAGATAGTGGTAGCATGCTATTAAATGGTAGGAATGATGGTGGGGATTTATTTACAGAGATTCAACCTTTTATCGCGTCTCCTCAGTTATTTTCATGGCTGGCAGCGACTGGTGCCATTCATACCCGGAAAGAGCTTCAGTCCTAGGTGTCCCAGAGCCATCTCGAGGCTAAAGGATGTTGTCTGCCTTTTTAGCTTTTGGTGTCAAAGGATGAGATTTGAAAGTGATGCTTTTATTTATTTTTTTTTTAATTTTTTTTTTCAACTTTTTTTTTATTTATTTTTGGGACAGAGAGAGACAGAGCATGAACGGGGGAGGGGCAGAGAGAGAGGGAGACACAGAATCGGAAACAGGCTCCAGGCTCCGAGCCATCAGCCCAGAGCCCGACGCGGGGCTCGAACTCACGGACCGCGAGATCGTGACCTGGCTGAAGTCGGACGCTTAACCGACTGCGCCACCCAGGCGCCCCTATTTTTTTAAAAATTTTTAATGTTTATTATTTTTGAGAGAGCGAGCACAAGCCGGGAGGGGCAGAGAGAAAGGGAGACACAGAGTCCAAAGCAGGCTCCAGGCTCCGAGCTGTCGGCACAGATCCTGACGCAGGGCTTGAACTCATGAACTGTGAGATCATGACCTGAGCCGAAGTCGGACGCTTAATCGACTGAGCCACCCAGGCACCCCGAAAGTGATGCTTTTGAAAGATGAAGCAAACAGTAGAACTGGAAGTCGACCGCTCTGGGCCTGTGGGTGTCCGTGTTTCTTCATGCTCGTCTGGGGTCATGCCAGGGTTGAATGGCGTGCTGCTTACTGCCACGTAGGGCTCGCGAACCACAAATGTGTCTCCTTTGGAGACTGGTGAAGGTTGGGGGGAGGTAGCTTATATGAGTCCAGCTTAGGATACGGACTTGAAAATTGTAGCCGTTACCTGGCCCCCACCGTCCGTGGTTTCCAGGGCGTACGTGTGCTCACACGCACACAGGTGTGCACGTTCCTGCCTGATTTCGTCCAGGAGCTCGTTAACTGGTTGGTCTCTGTTCTTTTTGCCCTTGAACAACTGAAGTCTTTGCTGAGCGTGTGAAATGTTGGCTTTACGACCTGGAAGAGGGTTTTGGTTTCCTTTGGCTTTGCCTTTCCTGTGGTCAGGGGCAGCGTCTTCCTCTGTGTTCATATGCACCTGGCTAGGGTGAAAGCACACAGTATGAACAGGTCTAGTGACCAGGACGTTATTCACAGAAAACTACTCTTTTTGTGAAATAAAACTAAACTTTTAAAAATGTGACCCCAAATTGAAAAGAGTCTAGATTGAAGCTCTTAAAGAATGTACGGTGAGTATGTCTTTCGTTCTGTGTAATGACTAAGGCTGTCTCTGCCTAGGGAGGGAACCAACTAGCCTCATTTTTTTCAAAAACTCTTTTAGTGAGAACATTAGTGTACGAACTCCACTCGTCTAGGGCTTATGTGACGAAGTGCCACACACCTGGTGGCCTACCACAACAGAACTTGATTCTCGCTTAGTTCTGGAGGCTGGAGGTCTGAAATCAAACGTCAGCAGGGCCATACTCCCTCCCACGGCCCTCGACAAGACTCTTGCCTGGCCTCTTCCAGCTCGTGGTGGTCGCTGGCAGTCCTGGGCCTTCCTTGGCTCGCTCCTGCATTCCGGCTTCCGTCTTCCTGTGCGTGGCCTCACCTGCTGCATGTCTGTGTCTGGATTCCCCTTATGAGAAGGACATCAGTCATTGGATTAGGGCCCACCCGAATCCAGCCTGACCTTATTCAAATAAGGTCCTGTTAACAGGCACCCGGGGTGAGGGCTCGAGTGTATCTTTCTGGGGGACTTAACCCACAGCAGTGAGTATACTTACAACTTCAGAAGTCAGGCCACCATACTTAAGAACGACAGCAGCCATCTCTGACATGGATGAAGAGACTTCTCAGCTTGCGTATGTGAGCGTCTAACTTTTTAAACCTGAACTTAGCTGTCGGTGGGCTGGTTAAAAGACCGACTCCCACCGTCCGCACAGGCAGCGGCCAGCGGGGTGGCGTCGGGCGGGTTGACCGCCGGCTAGGCGGGGAGACGCGCCGAAGAGGCAGGGCTTCCCGGAGCCAACCAAAGGCCTCTCCTCCTGGATACACCTGGCACATCCGGGGACCTTTGTGAGTCTCTGCTGCTGTGCATCTCCATCAGTCAGTTCCCGTATGACTGTGAAGCTTGCAGACTGAAAGTTTCACTGCTTTGATGGGGCTTAAAAAAATGTGTTTTTCCAAGCTGGTGGTTGACGAATGAGAGAAAAATTGGGAGCTGTCTCACTCTGTGAACATGTTTGTTGTGCGGTTCTGTGTGTAGCGCTGTGCTGGGCGCTTGGGGATACAGCAGGGATTTAGGATGAGATCAAGAAAGAGCAGGAGGCAGCTGAGTCCAGGGCCAGATGCAGTGGAGCGTGACAGGTCCCGATCAGGGAAATCCAAAGTGGTGTCTGGAGGAGGGAGTTCTCGTCTGAGACAAGTAAAACGTGCTGGTAGAGAGCCAGTCAGAGGGAATAGTAAATACAGGGCCTCTGTGGGAGGGATCGTATTTCTTCACGCAGCTGGAAGGCCCTCAGCACTGCTGGAGCTTGGAGAGCCCAGAGGGAGGTGAAAAAACTATGCTAGGAAAGGAGGTAGGAAGGTCGGTGGCCTTGTAAACCGAGGCGGGGTGTTTGGGCTTTATCCTGGGGCCTTGGTGTTCAGCCGAGAGAAGGTTGGATGGGGCAGGAGTGCCGCGATCAGACGTGCTGTGAGGAGAAATCCTTGGCCACGCTGTGGCACGGGACCTCGTGGGCCAGAGCAGGCACATGCGGAAGTAAGGATGTGGTGCCGGCCTGAACTGGGGCGGGGGGGGGGGGGGGGGGGGGGGGGGGGCCGGCAGTGGACATCGAGAAGCCCTGGTGGATTTGAGAACTTGAGAGAGAACTAGGAGGTGGGCTTCCCTGAAGTGGGAGGGGGAGGGTGTGGGAGTGAAGTGGGGAGCAGTAGTAGAGAAAGAGTCCGGGGGAGTCATGCTGACTGTGGCGCTGATGTCCTGTGTGTCAGGCACTGGGCTCTCTGCGGAAGTGCTTACGCGAATTCCCCGGGGAGGGGGGGCGGGGGGCAGTAGTATCTCCATTTGACAGATGAGGGAGGACCCTGGGGACAGAGGGGCTGAATAACTTGCCCACGGCTCTCCAGCTTGGAAGTGGCACAACCAGGATTCTAACCCAGGCAGTCTGGCTCCCCAGGCGCCCGCCGCTGTGTGAATGATACTCCACTCGTAGGCCCCTTCTACGGCATTTGACACGGAATTTAAAAAGTGGCAACATGAGCGTGGTGGAGACACACACAGCTGGATTGTAGTCTCAGCAAGATCTCCGTGAACCTGGCCACAGCACCCAGCTTTTCAGGCACCTTAGTCTCCATGTTAACTAAAACAGAGGTGACGTCTAAGTCCTAGGGCTGATGAGCAGTGCTGTGCAGAAAGTGTTTGGGAGAGTTCCTGCACCGGGTACTGGTATTGGTGGTATTTCATTATAGAAGATGTGGCTTCAGTCAAGGGGATCGTTACAGTGTTTTCTTTTTAAATGTTTGTTTATTTATTTTGAGAGAGCGAGCGTGAGAGATCTAATGCGCTGTGAGTTCATGACTTGAGCCGGCATCAGGAGTTGGACGCTTCACCGACTGAGCCACCCAAGTGCCCCTACAGTATTTTCTAAGGGGGTTGCAGGGTGTGCTGGGAAGGGATGCATAGTTTGAAAGCGCTCCTCTCTGGGGCGCTTGACTAGCTCAGTCAGAAGAGCATGTGCCTCTTGATCTCGGGGTCGTGAGTTCAAGCCCCACATTGGGGATAGAGATTTCGTAAATGAATAAATAAAAACTTAAAAAGAAAGAAAGAAAAAGCTTCTCTGGTGATTTGTTAAAAAATTTATTTAGGAGCACCTGCTGCCTCAGTCGGTAGAGCACACGACTCTTGATCTTGGGGATCGTGAGTTTGAGCCCCACATTAGATGCAGAGATTACTTAAAAATAAAATCTTAAAAAGAAACGTATGTAAACTAAAAACAACAAGAACAAAATAATTCATCCATTTCTCCCACCACCCCACACCCGCCTCTTGCAACCATCAATCTGTTTTCTCTGTGAGCTTGTGTTTTATGTTGTTTGTTTTTGTTTTTTGAGAGAGAGTGCACATGAGTGAGGGAGAGAGACAGAGAGAGAAAGAGAAACAGGATCTTAAGCAGGCTCCACGCTGAGTCTGGAGCCCAACACGGACTTGATCCCACGACCCTGGGATCATGAGCCGAAGTCAAGAGTCAGATGCTCGATCGATTGAGCCACCTAGGCGCCCCTGTTGTTTTGTTTGTTTTCTAGATTCCGCATATAAGAGAGCTGCTATAGTTTGTGTTTTTCTCTGTCTGACTCATCTCACTTAGCATAATGTTCTTGAGGCCATGCATATCGTTGTGTGTAAGTGGCAAGGTTTCATTCTTTTTTATGGCTGGCTAGTGTGTGTGTGTGTGTGTGTGTGTGTGTGTGTGTGTGTATGTAACACACACCACATTTTCTTTATCCATTGATGGACATTTAGGTTGTTTCCATATATCTTAGCTATTATGCTGCAGGGAATATGGGGGTGCAGATATCTTTTCAAATTAGTGTTTTGGGGGGGGGGATATATACCCAGTAGTGGCATTCCTGAATCACATTCGTAGTTTTGTTTTTAATTTTTGAGGAACCTCCGTGTTGTTTTCCACTGTCTGTGTTGTTTTCCA